TTTCAAGATGTTTTTACTGTTGAGAATTGAATGACTTTTTAGAGTCTGCATTTTTCCTTTATTACACTAGCAAAGAACGCTGTGGACTTTTCCAAGGAAACCACATTTTAAAAGTGGCATTAATGGTCTGACTAACAAAGAATCCTCTAACAACAAGGAAATTCAAAGTTGAAGACAAAGAAGGTCATATCTTATAAGTTTCAGGTCTGGGTATTATTTTCATCACTGCTGTTTTAGCTAGTTGCTACAAAAGTCTCATGTTTTATGGCGTGAATGCATATCTGTTTTGTGCTGAAATAGCTGTGACAGGCACCTCGTATGATCAAATTTATTCACTGGATTTTTCAAACCCCTTAGTAGTGGGGGGAATGGGGGGTGTTGGGTTTCTTGTGTTTTTTCTACCTCAAAAGGTCTATGCGGATTATTCTTTAGCCCAAATAATTTCAGTGACCCATTCTACACCATGTCCTTATGAACAGTGGTGTTTGTACAACTTAAAGGAGTATTGAAGCGCAGCGTAGAGCAGAAATAATAGATGGCATGGCATGGCATGGAGGTGGAGAGTGTGCTGATCTTAGATGAAGAGCCTCTTTTTCAGAAATGGTAGTTTGAGGAAAATGGACATGAAATGATACTGTACATCTCTTGTATCTTTATGTATTATCATTTGTGTAGTATCAGTTTATATTCCAAATTTCTCTTTACTTCTGCTTTGAAAATCAGAAACCAGATTGTAATTTTTAGAAGTGTTAGTTTACAATATATTTCAAGAATTCTGTTGAAATTGGAAGTGACTCCGCATATGGTTGCGAGGGGTTAGTGATTTATTTTCTAGGGATAGAGTTTCTAAACCAGACCCATCACTAGGGATTTGACATTTGTGTGCTTGTGTATAAGAAATGCTTATTTTGCCAGATAGTCCTTTATTTTGTGGGATTTTTATGTATGTCGTTACATTGGAGAGTAATTATTGATTCGGTGTAAAATCAGTCTTTGTTTTGTTATGTTAGTTCCTATGTCCCTTTTCTAAAATTATTGTAGGAGAGGAAATGCTTGCTTGCATGGTTATCATTTTAGTTTTTGCATTTTGTAAGCTTGTGAGATTATTTAGTTTTAGTAGGATTTTCCTTTATTCTTTTATGAAAATGACCTGCTAACTTGAGTTGTTTTGCATGGTTAGCAACGTGAATGCAGGTATCTCTGTCAGACAGTACTCAGCTTGGACTGCGTCTGAAATAAAAATGAAATTCCTCTCCAGAAATACTTGTTTTGCGCTATTAGTCTCGGGCTGAGAAAGTTGAATGTAACCATGTCTAAGATGATTCATAGAATGCTCTAACATCTGATTAGCTCAGAGAAAAGAAAATCTGATTCAGGGAGTTACTTTGCCATATTCTGAAACAACATATTTTTGTGATTTCATTTCACTGGGTTATTTATGTAGTGTGGAAGCAAAATAGTGCTTAAAGCTAGCAGGGGATTAGTGACACTTGCCATGTGGAAGTTGTCAGAGCAGCTAAAGCCAGCCTTGCAGGCAGTAGTTGGTGACCAAGTGAGAACAATGTCTTGACAGAATCTGTAGCTATTGAAGTAACACATTTAGAAATACTAATTAGATTAACAATTTGAGGTCTAGTTAACGAATGGAACGTTCACTTCTCATAATCAAGTGCAACACTTAATCATGCTGTGTGCTGACAAATAAGAATATTCTTGCTGAAATCTCCCAGTGCCATTTCGCTACCAAGGTGTGTTTCAGAGTGGTTGCATGAGTGAAGATTGAATTTATCTCACTTTAATTACACAAGGGTTGTATTTATGGGAGTTAATATCAATTTCTAGTGATGTCCCATGAATGACAGCAGATGTTTTACATGGCTTTCTCATTTTGTTATGAATATAGCCTTTTAATACTGTGGTTTGTTCAAGTGTTTTTTCATTAGATTAGGATCTCATTTTGGTACCTTCATAGGAAAACTTGCTGCTGCTTCTCAAAAGCAGTTATATCTAAAATCATCAAAGCTAATTGCAAGCAACCCTCAACCCAGGAAAAGGCTTATGCCTTTCTGTGTCTCATACGATACTGCATGTTCAGAAATAACTTGATGCACTGCACTCTGTAACTTTTCCTTGGTGAACCAGATAATTTGTACAACGGTGTGTACCAGATGGTACTTACACATTTTAAAATAATCATTATTTGATATTTTAAATATTAATGAGGATACATATATGAGAACCTTTCAGATATATTCAGCTGGAAATCCCATTTACTGAAGTAAAATTTCTGTCTTAATATAGACTAAAGAGTCTGACATGTAAGTTTTTGTTAAATGCTGATGTTTAAGATTCCTCCTTGTTATTCTCGTAAATTATTTCTTATCAGAATTTTCCGTAGAAACAAACAGGGGAGTAAAACATGCTTAGATCTGGTCAAAAGATGTGTATTTGCACTGGGAGTGGCTGGTTTGGTTATCAGATTTCTAATGGGAGGTAATCAGAACTGTATTATCAAATGAGTAGGCGGACAAAGGGGCAGATCATATTATGATATCATGAAGTCATTTTGTAGACTGGACAATCCTGCCTCTGAGTAGGACCGTGAATAGGGTGTTGGGGGACAAGGGCTGGAGTTTGTATGCTATGTGCTGTTTGTAAGAATATGTTAATCCATTGAATGTGCAGGTGTTTCAATTTCATGTTGAATTGGAATAACAAGATAGCTACTTGTTTTTATTATGTTCTTCAGTAATCCTAGAACAAAGTCATAAATAGTTGAAGAGATTTTTAGCCCATTGTATAGTACAGGTAGTACGGGTTTAAGTGACAGTGGTGAACTGATGCAGTCAGAAAGATTAATTTTATCACATAAGAGGTTCCTGTGGAAGAAGAAGCAGCACATCGTACCACAGCCTTCCATGAGACTACATCCAGTCCTGCATATAGGTTATGTAATTAGTGCAGTTAAATCATAATGTGTCTAATGTAATCTAATTGAAAAGGTGGTAAAGAATAGGCTGAAGGCAGAGCTGCCAGCAGTTATGTATGTAACTGTAAATGAAAGTGTCTGCTGTAATTTGGTTTTGCATAAATGGTGTTGTTGACTGTACTACTAAGTTAAGTATTTTTATAGAGGGTGAATTGGTTTGGGGTTTTTTTCAGCCTACCCAGAATCTACTTTCAGTATTTGGCGGCAGACATCCACTGATTACATATTTTTAATGAATACTTTATAAAGTAATTTCTTTTTGAGAATGTCTGGAGTAAAGGGTAACAATAAGCAAGCATTAAAGAAAATTTTAGAACTTATTTGGCACCAAGTGTCTGTGCCTTTATACCTGTTAGCTGCACTATTTTTGCAATTTATGACTGTAAAACAGGAATTTATTACCCACCAACATTCCCACACAATGTGCAAAGTGTGAGTTCTGTCGTCAGATACTGTGGAGTATTGATGGCTATATGTTGGCAGCATCTTTCTTGTTTGATTAGAGTTAACTCATCTCTGTGCGTGATTACTCTGAGGAAGATCAAACCTACCATGTCTTCTAAAGTCCTTTAGGTCTGGAAATCAGAATGAGGCTATCCCTTTCTACAGTTAGATTAGTGTGTTATGCTTTGTTTCTTAACTTTGAATGCTTACAATGGTGTTAAAATTAGGACACAATGTTCCTCATGGAAGATAAATGCCAGAGACTGAAAATAATTCAGCTGCATTGTACGTTTGGCTTCTACTTAATATAATGAGTACATAAGAAATACAGATGGAATGAAACAGAGCTTTCCTGCATCTTTACCTACGTACTTGGACATTGGAGTTAAAATTATCTCTGGGGATGTGTTAAGTAGTAGACTCCCTTTTCCTCCTTATACAATGTCGCAGACCACTAGACCTTTCCTGGTGACTGCCAACAAATCTCATTTTGTATTTGCAGAATGTGTCTCAGAGTTCACAAGCCATCCCAGTGTTTTGTGTAAAAATATTTATACTTTGATAGTTTTCAACAAAATGACATGCCTGGAGATAGTGCTATTTATTTGTCATTTCTGCAAAGTCGCATTTTGTTTTTGTTCATGTAAAAAGATACACTATTGCCTCTTGATTCCATGCCAGAAATTACACTATTATCTTAGGGCACTGTGTGCCAAAACATGTAATGAATTATTGCTGATCTGCATGAGGTAAAGGAGAGATGAGTGGCACAGCATATCCTTCCTGGTTGCTACCGGTTTTTCTCCTTCCAGTTAGCACTGCTGTTACATATGATATTTAATACAGTTGCTGTCTGCTAACAGTTTGGTTATATTACTAGAGATGTGATCACAACTTGTTCTAGTTCACATTTGCATATTGACTTGAACTGTATTTTCTTTTAATGGCAGTATGCCAGACTTCATAATGATGTAACTGACTAGAAGCTTCTGACAGGATGTGTGCATGAAAGAAGAAAGGGAATTTTTGCCTACTGATAGAGGCAAAAATGGTTGGTAGGGACAGAAGAGGCGGCTGGTTAGATAAGTTATGCTTCAGAAATAAAACTGCCTGTACAGTTTAGATAGACCCTATTTAGCCTAATAAAGAGAGATGCGTGATTTTTGTACCCAAATCCCATCAGTTGTTAACGAGAGGGAGTAGCAAATGCCTTTTTGACATTATAAACAGGAGGTGGAGGGGAGGTAGAGAGTAGTCGAGGCAAAAATTCTCAGTAAAGCCTGGCACATGTGTTAGAGGTGGTTTTAAAAATATCTGTACTTCATAAGAATATAGTGGAACTATTAATTGATGATTTGCTATAAATAAAACAGCTGCTGAGTGGACATACCTTCCATGACTACAAAATAACATACAGGCTACAAGAAAAGATTCTTTTTTAATTATAATTAAAGCACAAGATAAACTTGTGCTTTGAAGGCCTGTTTTTACTTAGGTTTTCAAAACGCTGCTGTACTGTATGTAGTCTTTTTTTGTTTCAGTACAGCTATTTCTTCTTTGTTGATAGGTTCTAGAAAGTTTTAAGATCATGGATTACAGTCTGCTACTGGGAATCCACATACTGAACAGTAACATGAAGGAAAAAGAGGGAGAGAGTTGTCAGAGTGCACTGGACTCCAAACGTCCTGGAGGGCAGAAAGTTCTCTATTCCACAGCCATGGAGTCTATACAGGGCCCTGGGAAGTTGGGGGACTCCGTCACCACAGAGACAACAAACACGTAAGTGCCATAACTTGCTCTTAAGGTTACTATTAAAACTTGCACATTCTGTTTCTTCAGTCTGTGCCACTCACATTCAGGAGTACACTGCATTTCAGGAATTGAAAGATTAAGCTTTTTTTTTTTTCTTTCCCCCCCCAAGGCTAGAACGTCAAGATTTGCTGCAGAGCAGAAAACTAGGAGGTTGATTAGTAGATCAATCATCTTTAAATACTTGATAGCAAATTTGGTTAGTTCAGAGTGACTTATGTATGCACAAGTGCATTGATTTATAAAAGAGAAGTTATGAGACAGCTATTCTGAGAGTCCAAGGTATAATGTAATTTCAACTGGCAGCAGCTTCATGAGCCTTAAGCAAAACTGTTTATTAACATTGAAATGGATATTCCTACAGTGGTTATTTTAGTCTAAAAATAGTATACTCAATACGTAGAACTGTATCATCAACCACTGAAGTGCAGTCATAACCATATACAGTGTTTCCTGAGATTAAGAACTGCTACTTTCCTCTTATTTTTCTATCTAGCAAAAATTGAAGTAGACATTTAAACATATAGATGATAGTTACTCTGTTATTTCCTGTGAAGTATATTCAGTGCTAGTGACAGCATTATGTTCACCATCTGTCCATTATAATGAGGGTTTAATTTCAGTTTAAGGATTTACTCATCTGATTCTCAAGGGAGCTGTCTAGGTAAATACAACTGATGATATAGAAATGTGTGCTTTCAAGCTCTTCTTTCTTCTGGTTTTGTAGTGAGTCTGTCAATAGCAGCAGAAGCTGACAAACTGAAACTGGGTTTCGGTTTCTGGTTCTAAAAATGATAGACCCTTTTTTCTAGGTGGTGGAGTAGGAAGAGAGGGTTTTAGGATGAGCTTGTTCTTTAAGGTCATGGTGGAATAAGTACTGTGAACCAAGTGGAGATCTAGGAAGTCAGGGTTCTCAGCCTGGTACTACTTTTTCCATCACTAATGTGTCTGTAAGGAAATTTTGGAAAAGCACGTACTTAATTTTTAGTGAAAAATATACTAAACAACCTTTTCAGAGTTGGAGTAATGTGCAGGTTCTCTACAGTTTTGTTACATGTGATCAATAAAGTGACAAAATTCTCCTTTAGCTAGGCAAAAATATTTATTTTCCTTAATAATAAAGTGTTATATGCTTTTTTCCTATTTTCAGATCATCTAAATATTTCCAATTCTATCTAAAAGTTATCCTAAAATACTGGGATATTTATAATGGGTATTTACTGCTGGTTCCCAGATACTTTAGGTTTGCCATGTAAAATCAGTTGTATGTTAAGTGACCCACATTTGACTGACTTAGCTCTGTGGCATGTAACTTCAATGCTGTATTTCTCTGGGTTTGCAAGTGGGTACAGTTTACCTGCTAACCGATGATCAGAGGTGTCTTAAAAGATAATCTAACTATGTTTTTGTTGTTTCTCTCAGAATGGGAGGTATTCCAGCTAAAAGCCACAAAGGAGGAAAGCTGCTTCTATTTATGGGTATTATTGATATTCTCCAGTCTTATAGGTAAGTTGAATTTCAAGTTTTTATTGAATAAACTATTCTGAAATTAATTACGAATGTGGAAATTTGATAAAGCAGTTCTGATTTTATTTTTATATGCTTAGGTTAATGAAAAAGCTGGAACATTCTTGGAAAGCTCTTGTTTATGATGGGGTAAGTAGATTTTTTTTTTTTAACTGCTAATAGTTTAGCTAATGGAACTTTGACTTACATTGACTAGAAAACAGCTAGCTATGGTATATTTGTAGTCTGCCATCACCATGTGGTTTGGGCTGTTGCTGAAATCTTTTAGGTCCATTTCCCTATACGTGCTCTGATTTTGTTTGCTGATCTTTCAAAAAGCAAGTAAAATGATCAGCTTCTCCTTTTTACTTACACAAGACAACAGCCCCTTAGCAGAACACTGATGAATCTGTAACTGAAAAAAGTACAGAATATGAAAAAAAGCATTTCAAATGCTAGGAAGATTTTGCAGAATATGGCTGTATAATTCATAATTCATAATTTCATAAATTAAATACTTGACAAGAAGTTCTTAAAGAATTAACCTTTAAAAAAGGAAAAACTTGTTAGGGTTCACTTATTTTGAGTATGCCTGAAATGTATGACATAATGTACCTGAGGTGTCCAGCTTCTTTCTTGGCAATTTAATTGTGATTTACTTACGGAAGATGTGACTGAGACCTTTTTCAATCTTGCAGGACACTGTTTCAGTTCACCGACCAAGTTTTTATGCAGACAGATTTTTAAAGTTTATGAGTACACGAGTTTTCAAGAAAGTTCAAGGTAAGAAAATTGTCACTTTTACTCTTTTAGATATTTTTGTGATTATTACTTTATAACACTCTTGCTTTGGCAGTAAAATAATCCTTTTTTCAACATCATGTGGCACTTACATTGGTAGAAGTCGAATTTTTTCACTGTAGCTAATGGAACTGTACTTTAACAAAGTAAAATTACAGAGAATTATTGGCTATGTATTTTTCGTCAGATCAAGGGCGTCTGAAGGTAAATAGGTTCCCTTATATTAGCATTGATATAAAGATAAATTTCATGATCTAATGATGCATCCAGTCCTGCATCTGTTATTCATAGGAATACGCCCATTGACTTTAATTTATTTAATTTGCAAAAGTAGAGATTGTTTACAAACCAGCTCCAGCATGTTTGCAAAGACAGACTTTCTTTCCTTTGACATGGTTTTCTTCTGTGCTTTGTTAAGGAAAAGAAAGCAGAAGTTGGATATTATAAAAAGTCTTTGTGTTTGTCACCATCACCTGTTTTTAGTTTTCCCCTAATTTCTTTTTCCTTAATGTTTTAATTCATTCTCAAGGCTACGATACATATCACTATTAGCTACTTACAGGATGTGGTAGGTTGACCTTGGCTGGATGCCAAGTGCCCACCAAGCTGCTCTATCACTCTGTCTCTTCAGCTGGACAGAGAGGGAGAAAAATGTAACAAAAGGCTTGTGGGTCAAGATAAGGACAGGGAGATCACTCACCAATTACCAATCACAGGCAAAACAGACTTGGAAATTAATTTAATTTATTGACAATCAAAAGTCAGAGTAGGATACTGAGAAATAAAAAACAAATCTTAAAACTTTACCACACTCCTCCCTTCTTCCAGGGCTCAATTTCACTCCCGAATTCTCTACCTCCTCCCCCCGAGTGGCACAGGGGGATGGGGAATAGGGGTTGTGGTCAGTTCATCACATGTTATCAGACATTATCTCTGCCACTTCTTCCTCCTTACTCTCTTCTCATGCTCCAAGCATGGGGTCCCTACCATGGGAGAGAGTCCTCCACAAAATTCTCCAGTGTGGGTCCTTCCCATGGGCTGCAGTTCTTCATGAACTGCTCCAGCCTGGGTCCTTTCCAAGGGGTGCAGTCCTTCAGGAACAGACTGCTCCAGCGTGGGTCCCCCATGGGGTCACAAATCCTGCCAGCAAACCTGTTCCACTATGAGCTTCTCTCCACGGGGTCACACCCTCCTTCAGGCACATCCAGCTGCTCCAACATGGGTTCCCCCACAGGCTACAGGTGGTCATCTGCTCCACCATGGACCTCCATAGACTGCAAGGGGACAGCCTGCCTCACCATGGTCTTCACCATGGGCTGCAGAGGAATTTCTGCACTGGTGCCTGGAGCACCTGCTCCCCTTCCTTCTTCCCTGACCTTGGCGTATACAGTTTTTTCTCTCACACATTCTTCACTCCTCTCCTCTGGCTTCTAATGCACAGCAGCTTTTTTCCCCTTCTTAAATACATTATCACAGAGGCACTTCCACTGTCACTGATGGGCTTGGGCTTGGCCTTGGCCAGCAGCGTGTCCATTTGGGAGCTGGCTGGCATTGGCATTGACTCTGTTGGATATGGGGGAAGCTTCTAGCAGCTTCCCTGTAGCCCCACTGTTACCAAACCTAGTTGCACAAACCCAATACATAGGGGAAGGAAAAAAGCCAGGAGAAACGCAACATCACTACAGAGGGACATTGCTACTGAGAGTTGTCCAAAGGCTTACGTTTAAGTCTTGCAGCAACTATTTAACTATTAATTGTCACTTCTCTCAAATAAAATTAATTTATTTCTGTAACTTAAAGCAGACCCTGAAACTGTAGATCCTCTTAGGGCATTGAGGATGGAGGGTAAATTGATCCTACATAGGTGAGTTCTTCCCGTACGTTGAGGATTAACCCCCATGGGCAGTTGAACCCCACACTGGCAATCCCTCGCTCCCCCACCGGTGGGATAGAGGAGAGAATTAGAAGGGTGAAGTTGAGAAAACTCCTGGGATGACGTAAAGACAGCTTAATAGTGAAAGCAAAAGCTGTGTGTGCAAGTAAATCAAAGTAAGGATTTAATCCACTACTCAGCAGCAGCCAGTTGTTTAGCCGTCTCCAGGAAAGCAGAGATTCGTCATGTATAACGGTTACTTGGGAAGACAATTGGCCATAACCCTGAGTGTTTCCCCCTTGCTTTTGTTTACCCCATCTTTTATTGCTAAGCACAACATCATATAGTCTGGGATATCCCTCTGGTCAGTTGGGTTCAGCTCTCCTGACTGTGTCCCCTCCCAACTTCTTGTGCATCCCCAGCTTCCTCGCTGGCAGGGCAGTATGAGCAGCATTGACGCTGTATAAGCACTGCTGCTCAGCAATAACTAAACGTCAGCACTGTTTTAATTACAAATCCAAGACATAGCACCACAGAACTACTGTGAAGAAAATTAACTCTGTCCCAGCCAAAACCAGTGCACTGTACTTTCCAAAGACTCCAAACACTGCAGTAACTACCATGTAGGCATATGAAGTTAGATTTCAGGAAAAATATTGGAGAAATAACTATCACATTCTTTTTCTTGATTCCAAACTGAAAAGAACAAATTAGTGTTGCCCTTGTCCCATGGAGTGAGCCATGTAGCTGTTTTATCATAATCTAGGTACAGCTTACTGCATTTAGCTTGACTTTGAAAATTAACAGGGGAAAATTAGCTGTCATTCAAGAATACACATCTTGAACAAAAGTTCATATGTTCCTATCTACCTTGAATTACAGTTCCTCCAGGTGTGATCACTATATTCTTATTGCATAATAATAATTTTTAAAAAAGGCAAAGTGTAGAGACTTATCTTACAGGCTTCTGCCATCAAAAATTCAGATCAGGTTTTATTTTCACTAAAATTTCTACCACTGAAAGTCAGTATTTTTCAGACTGTATTGGCCTTGGTTAGTCTGCATTTTGTCTAAAGATGATACAACTTTTCTGAAGGCTAGTATCCAGCTGTTTTTGGAAGGAATCAAATTATTGTGAGAGAGAGCTTATGAAACTCTGACCCTGTCCACAAAAAACAATGTTAGAGACATGGCAGGTTACAACAACGTGTGTCATTAGGTCTAAATGAAAGAATAGATAAACTGATAACTAAGAGCAACAAGAAGAAGTGTAAGTGGTAAGTACTTTGTGAAATTACTAAATAAGAAGAAAAGAAATGATAGTCTGATGGAAGGAGAAAGCTGAGAGTTGCTGAACTAAAATAAGAAATTAGATACATTAAGTAGAGTGAAGGAGTCTTTAGAAGAAAAAGAGATAATTTGGATTAGCCCTAATTAGTGATTCCCTATATGCATGATATATTGTGACAGCTATTCAGGAAAATAAGACTTTTGCAGAGTCTTATAAATATTAAAGAATTGATTAATAGTTATTCTATAAGTTAGTCAGGCTACTGAAAGGAGAAATTCAGTCTGAAGCATCACAAGTACAGAGAAGGATGGTGATGGCTGCCAAGATGCATTCAGTGTGTATGCAGTGAGGACGACTGTAGGAAACACCTGATGAATATACCAGCAAGGCAAAGATGAGTGCTTGGGGTTCACTGTGGCCTATGCTGTTCTTTGGGGAAAAGCTGTTCTGGTTATCTAAACAATGAGGGGGATTTTTTTCAACAGTATGGCAAGTGGTATAAAACCTTATTATAAGACCTATAGATCAGCTGGTTTAAATAGTATGCATCCATACTAACTTACTGCTTTACTGCTAAATTTTTTAAATCTGTGGAGGTGCTGAAATGGCACTTTTTTTTTTACCTTTTTTTTTTTTCCCCAGTAAGAGAAGGGATGTTTCAGCTTAGCCTCTATGAAACAGTGTTTTGTGAGTTTCATGACTTTTTATAAAGCGGAGTTCTTGACAAATAAATATAAATTGACTGACTAGAACTATGTAGTTTATAGAGGAAGTTATGCTCTAAAGTGGATCCTAGTTAGCAGTTTGATAATCCTACTTGTGGAACTGTATTTATTTTGCAGTTGAATGTCAAAATGTGGAATGGACGTTTAGCTCAAATGCTACAGAAAGAGTATTGAGCAGATGGCATTGTGTCAAACTGATAGAAGGTGTTTTGTAATGTGTTATGCTCATCTCTTAACATTGTTATTAGTTACCTGAGCGAAAAACAAGTCTATGTGCATAGAGGTTGAACAAAATACAAATGAAGGATAGAACTAAATGAGATTCAAGTGAAACAAGAATGGCTACAAATACTAGCACAAATGAACAGCTTAAGGTATTACATGTTACATCCTTCAGAAAAGGGTGGTTAATATAAAAATAAAATAATCTGATGCAGTATGACAAAATATGAAGCAAAATTCAGTTGAAAGGAGAAAAGAGCCTCCTGACACTCAGATCTCTTAAACCCTAGAACAAAACCTAGGGCCACAAAGATGATGAGGGGCCTGGAGCATCTCCCATATGAGGAGAGGCTGAGAGAGCTGGGACTCTTCAGCCTGGAGAAGAGAAGACTGAGAGGGGATTTTATCAATGTCTATAAATACCTGAAGTGTGGAGGCCAAATGGATGGGGCCGGGCTTTTTTCAGTAGTACCCAGTGACTGGACAAGAGGCAATGGGCAAAAACTGGAACACCAGAAGTTCCACACAAACTTAAGGAAAAACTTCTTTACAGTGAGGGTGACAGAGCACTGGAACAGGCTGGCCAGAGAGGTTGTGGAGTCTCCATCTCTGGAGATGTTCAAAACCCACCTGAACACTTTCCTGTGCAACCTGGTGTAGGTGAACCTGCTTTGGCAGGTGGGTTGGAGTAGATGATCTCCTGAGGTCCCTTCCAACCCCTGTGATTCTGCAGTTCTGTGAATTTTGCCAGAGAACTGGTGGGAGCTCTGTTGTCTGAGACAATACTCAAAGGAACTTCTCTGCACTTAAAGGGGTGAACAACTTGATACTTCTGTCTGTTGGACAAAATCAAAATAAATGTCTTATGCAGTCATGTAAGTTTCCTGAACATTTGAGTCTTTTTTCATTTCTTTCTAATTTTGACTGGTAGATTTATGTCAGCACAAAACACAACCCATTCTGTATTTGAAAAGTACAATGTGCCATTAAGAACATCATGCCTAATTTTCTCTCTAATCTTAATTTATCTGTCTCATTTTTCCAGGCTATTAACCTGTCTTAATATCCCACTCCTATTGATCTGCTCTGCATACAAGGCTATTAATCTACTTTTATATGGATTAATGATTCAAATGCATTATCATTCTTTCATAAAATAAAGAAATAGGAGTGTTCCTGCCTTCAGGAACATTATTTATAAACTTTGAGTTAGACATTTCAGTTTAAACTCTTAAGCCGTGTTCTCAATGAGTGTTTTTTTCTCCTGGTGCACAGAACAGGCCTCCATAAATAACAACAAAAACATAATAAGCAGATTCAGTCTTGGGCAGAGACTAGCTCAGCAGCTACTATGCTATTTTTTAACCATATCCTGGAGCTATGGATCTGATTCTATTCTTCAGTATTTAGCCAAGTGGCTTTGATGCTTTTAATCTGAATTTTGTAGTAGAGCACAATATGAACTGCTGCAGCACATCTGAAGTAACCTTACAGCCAGTGCATGGAGGTCAGTAGCTGGTGACTGGAAAACACTAAATGAACTGACTAGCATCCTTCTGGAGAAGAACTACAAATGGGGATCATGGTTCAGTAGTAGTGACAATGGTCAGATCCTACAGTTTCACTTAAAATGCTATTGTAAGTAGGCAAGTCCTGGTAAGAATTATAAAGGGGATGCTCCTACCTGAGTGTACAAGCCATCAACATTTTGGAAGTGTTTCTTTTACCCAAAGAAGATGATGTTTGACACATGTCACTGAAATGGAAATTCTGCAGTAGCACATACACCATTATAGAGCAGTAGTTCACAGCTCAAGGAACTGATCATAACCTCTCAGAATACTCCAAATGTATTTTCTGTTTTCCTGTCTTCTGTTTTGTTTTTTTTTTTTTGTATCATTCTGTCTCTGATTACATGGGTTGTTACTCCATAGGAGATTTGTAACTTAGTGATGGGAAAGTTGGTTAACTGACTTGTTTTTTTTGTCCTATGAGCAGTAAGGAACCCAAAAAAAAAGACAAAAGTACTTCACTCATAGCTGAAATGATGATGCCTTTGGCTCTAGTTTTAATATAATATTTGGTAAGTGGGTTTGTATCTGGATATGTTTGTTGTCTGTATTCAGAAAGTCTACCTTTACAGATGGCTTGCTTTTCTATATGCTAAGATGTGCAGGGAGATAAGATGACATAATTCAATACCTATGTTAATTTGGTAATACAGCTTTAAAGTCTTCACCTTCAAAGAAACGGTGCAATTCCATCACAGCCCTAAAGGCAACATCACAAGAAATAGTGTGTGCAGTTAGCCAGGAGTGGAAGAATGAAAAGCATGGCCTTCTTGCTGAAGGACAAAGCTACGCCAGCCTTGATGAAGAAGGTAATGTCTTTCAAATGAACAGCCTAAACAGTGTCTTTAAAGGAATTTAGTATAAGCTCTAGAAGCCATATAACTAGAAAGCTTGCAATCTGGCTGATCTTTCAAAACTTCAGAGTTGAGTTATCATCCTGGAGAGAGTTGTTAGTCATATTTGGCAGAATGGACCTTCAGGAGCAAGAGGAAGTCCAGAATCAAGGTTACAGTATGTTGTTAATCTTTTGGATTTCAGGGGATCCTAAAAAAATTTATCCATCCCAGGTAGTGGACTGAGGCCAGAGCCAGTGCTATTCTTTTCACTGACTTTTAAACAAACATGTCACATAAAGTGTTTTGAAGCTCAGTTCATTGGTTCCAGAGTCTTTTTTAAGAGATACAGGCTTTGCCCCTTTCAGAGTTCATCTGCAGCCAGGCTTAAAGGAGAACCAGCCACCTAATCCCATCTAAACACTGGGCCCTGGTAGTGTGAGACCAGTCTCAGAATTCAGAAGAATTCATCAGATGTTCATACCACTGTTTGATGTTTGACCTTGGGGTTGCTCTGTATTCTGCTGGATGTACTGGCTAGCAGCTGAAATTCACCTTGGAATGCAAAAGAGTGTGGGTATGGGCACATGAATATTGCAGTCTCATAAATTCTGTGTATTAAGATGCTTCAAGAAGCTGTTGAGAGCACTATGTGACTCCATACATTTATGTAAAGATTCTTGGATTCAATTTGAAATAATTTTTTTTAATGTTGTTCTTTATTTTTGTGTATGCAGCATTAAGTTCACGCCACCGGCCAGATCTAGTGCCGAGCACTCCATCTCTGTTTGAAGCAGCTTCCTTGGCAACGACAATTTCTTCTTCTTCCTTGAATGTAGATGAGCATTATCAACATGATCAACCTATGCTCTATTCTAGCAGGTAAAGGCATTATAGATGGTAGAGGATTCCTCACTGTTTTGCTAAAAGTCCGACTGTGCAATAGAAGGGGGTTCTGTGAAAGAAAAAGCAGAAGCGACAAGTGTCTCTGTAGCTCAGTCTTGAGCCTCTCTTTGAAGGAGGGATGCCATAAGGCCATAGGATTTGTTATTTATTTGTTTGTTTTTATATGTATTATGGTTGGGGTCACAAAATGGAAAGCATAAACACAGCAAAAAGTTTATAGTATACTTTGAAATTTTTGTCATGTTCCAAAACTAAACTGGGCATTAAAAACTTGCTTAGGCCTTAGTCTGTGCCATAGACCATACTACATTAAGATCAGGGTAGGAAATACTTGTCGTAACTTAGCTGTAGCCTAAAACAGTTGCAGAAAACTGTGATGTGGTAGGAAAAGGGACCTACTTTCAAGCTGATCTTCAGTCTGAATGTACAGTGCTGAATGGTCTGCTTTAAGTTCTTTCAAAATTACCATTTTCTGAAGTGAATTTCTATGAGACTTCACCCATGGGTGAGTCTGTGTAAATTTAACCCAGGAAGGATAAAAACAGGAAAGTCTCAAGAAGAGCTATGCAGATGCTTGTAAGCTGGCTTGAATATTATTTGAGTTGTGTTTGAATGTACTTTAGCCAGGACTGTCCAATACTATACTTATGCCAGTAAGTCTTGCTGGGAGATTATCTGTGCGTTTATGTGTCTGTACTTTACCTTGTACACCTGAAGTGTGTTGTGTTGTATCGTCTCTTGCCTGCTCGTGGATCTCTTCACCATGTGTTAGACTTGAGAACAACCATTTCTTAGCCAGCCTCACTTGTGTAAGAAGGATAACCACTGTGAACTCAAGTAAGCTGGCTTGAGTTTGGGATAGTTTGGGATCCTGGACTACACAATGTCTATATAAATTTGAAAAGCTTACTCATGTGCCGAGATGTAGTTCTTTACTTTAAACTGCATGTTCTCCAAAAAGATCAAGTTATTTTAAAAGCAATCTTGAGGAAGTAGGTTTTTACATCGTATTAAAATTTGACCAACTGCATTTTCATAAGAAGTAAAATGATGTGCGGAGTTACTTGATCAAAGTGATGTTTGCAGCTTCCATTTTCATTAAGTTGAAATAGATCTCACTGATGTGGCATCTTCCACCGATCTCATGTTTTGCTATGAAAATTTAGACTGAGATATGGTTTGGGGTGTAACAAAGGTGGAGTTTTAACCATCTGTAATTGTCCCAAAATGCATCTATGCAAGCGTTAGGAAATAAAATCACTAATGAATACACATTAGGAGAAACAGGGCTCCTTTAATTCAACTTCTGTCAGTCTTGTCCAGTTTGTGACAAAGTTAGCTGTAGGACTTCAGTGTTCCATGATCTTTTACCAAATTTTACCTTTGTTAGAAATAAGGCTATAGAATATTAGGGTTTTTATTCACTTTTAAGCAACAAATAAAACTACAGAACTACTTTGTATTAGCATCAGTCAGCAAAAGAGAACTGCAGAGATGTCTCGATAAAGAGTTCATATGTACTACAAATAAAATATTTCAAATACTCTTTACTCTCCATAAATTAGTTGTAGAGAAAAACTGTAAGTCCATGATATTTTCCTGTAAAGATATTCCAAAATAATTCTAAAATACATAAGGTTTTTAGCACATCTACACTTTGATTGTATGTTTAGACTTGTGTACTCTACAGTCGTGATACAGTCAATGAAATAAACTAAAATGTATGCAATTACCCTGCACATCCTTATCTTACAAAATCAGATTGTAACTGTAGTTTCTGCAGTCCAGGTTTGCATACTTTCAATTCATCAGTTCAACAGGACACGTTCTCTAGCACAGCAGACCTTGCAGTAGTATTCATAGATGTGTGGTTCTCTCCATGTATTCTGTCAAAACAAAAGACTTTGCCCCACAGCCAGGAGTTCTGCCGTGGGGGCTGACCAACTAACGTCCTTGCTGGTTGAGATGTATCCTTTTCAGCTAGGGCTTGGTGGCAATTTTTTTTCCTGACCAAGTACTGATTCATGTCACAATCTCAGTATGTACAATTCACAAGGATTAGCTCCCCTCTTTTAGCTAGCAGCTTTCTTTTAGGATTTCAGCATTAAACTAATTTCCCCAAGATGATTCGGGGCACTTGGCAGTTTTTTGCCCACCTCTTCTTTCTGCATCAGTGCAGGGAGGTCCTTCCTTCTTCATGGCACTAGATAATACATCCAGATGAAGTTTTATTTATGTTTTATAGTACACTGGAGGAACTTCAGTCCTCCCAAGAGAAAAGTAGACAGGGAAATAAAAACAACAAGAAACCCATGCTAGCACTGAGTTGTAAATGGCTTGGATTTTTCTCGGTGGAGTTCTGCTTTTGAATATTATAAAATGTTGTGATGCAGGACTTGCCACTTTGCCATTTCTCTCTAATAAACAGAAAGTCTGGAGCAGTCTTTGTAACAAAGCCTGAACGAATTATTTGTTTAAAAATGTGATCCTGCTTTCGGTCTTTAAATATGTAATTGACTAAGACATTCCGCTTCAAGTTATTTAATAGAAATACAGTTTGGCATCTTCTTCATCAGGCTTTTTCCTTGTCCTTCACAGTGTCCTGGCACAAAGTAGAGAGTACACAATTTTCCTTGTAACCAGTTAGAAATCTCTGGTTTAGGGTAATAAAGGGAAATAATCCTGTGTGCATAGTAATAATACGGTATCTATACAGCTCCTTGACTCCTGTTAATCCTAATGAGCAGTATGTGCCATACCAATGAGAAGACAGATGCCATTATTTGTCTCATTAAAAAGAGAGCGGTAATACTTTCTGCTCAGCACCATCTCTCCTTGAGGGTGCTTATCACTTGTGGTAGGAAATAGATACTGCTGCCAGTGTGGTTCTTGTTCAGCAGACTTGCTGAGGTGACTAGCTGAGCTGGAGCTGGCTACTGAGACTGTTGTATGAGCAGGGTTTATGTAGACCTGGCTTGGTACAGATAAGAACTAGCATAACTAATTGGTAGAAAATGCAGAGCTGCATTTAGGAACTTGTGGTTAAAGCAAGAAAGATAGACTGAGCAGCAATCATAAACACAGAGCTTATTAGGAGTGTTTTTCTAGACTGCTCACTAATTGTTTTTTACCAAGTTATTCCTCGGTTCTTGAAGAGTTGAGGTGTTACCCAGGCACCATGAAGAGAAACTGGTAAAAGTAGTGAATGAAGGAGTAGTGGGGAGAGGAAAATGGGTATATTTTTCAGCACAAAAGGAACTTTATCTAAAAAAGGAATGTAAAAGGGGAAGAAAAAAGGACAAATGTAACATACATTATTCAGCAAATGCAGGCTTTCTTGCTTGTCAGAAGACAGCTGGTTTCTGTTCTATGAAGCTGTTTCTCAGTCAAGTGGTTCTGTTGTAAGCAATGTCAAGTATTCATTTAGTAAGAAAAAAGAATTGACAATTTATTGCTTCTGTTAACATTTTGAAAGATTTTTCACTCCTCCTCAAGTAGGTTTTTATTTGGTGCAGAGATATACCTAAAAGGCCCATTTTCCACTGGAATATAAGTTCAATTTTGAGTCCAAACACACTTCTTTGAAAGGGTTTATTTGCTTTATCTTAGGAAATATGAGAGCTTATTTTTGTAGCAGAAGTGATAACAGATTTTTTCCCTCTCCAGGTAAAGTTTTCCTAATAAGTACTGATGAATTAAATTAAAGATGACGAATCTGAATGTCCTGTGCAGTATGACTGTTGTCTCAGTTGACATTGTTTTTACAACTGCAAAGAGCTAGAGGAGGTTAATGCTGTCACAGGTGCTTCTGAAAATGTTTTGAAGTGGAGTTTCAAGATACAACAGAAAGTCTGTTTCTATTGTATCTTTTAGGAGGTCTCATGGTTTCCAGTCACAAACCTAGACAAAATCCTATGATGTGTAAAGGGGTACTTCACCTCTCTGTCTTTAGAGCAGTGCCAAGCAAGATACTGTGGGTTATATAAGGAGGATTGCTGAATTCTTCTGATATATTTGAGCCTAGGAAAATAATCGATATGAAATCTCGTTCTTGTATCTTTTTATGTATTCTGTACCTCCTTTCTGTAAGATGTGTATGTAGTATGGACTTCTGCCTTTCTTTCCTATTCTTTCTGCTTTTCTGTATATTTTTCAGTTCTTTGTTTGCCTTACCTTTGCATTGTTGTTTTTTGGTGCTGACCACTTAAAATTTTGGAAGGCTTTGAGGTGTTGTGTTTGTTTCTCCTACACAGTCCAAACTTCCTAAAATATCCATACTTTGAACTGAAATGTCCCATGACTTTCTGTCAAACAACCTTTTCAAAGACAGCTTTAAAAATAAAAATTACTACTGTTTTTTCAGTGGAAGGGATTTGTAGGTACTAGTTTTCCTCTTGTAAGGAATACTTAATCACACCTTTTGCCAGTCTGGTTTTCTAAATAAACAAACTTTGTGTATGAAGTTTAAATGTTCTACCTATCCACCCACCATCCTTAGCTTCTGAAGCTTAGACAAATTTGTCTGAATCTGATTCAAAGAGGATTAAGTTAATGGAAGCCTCATGAAAATAAGCAGCTGGGTGGAGGAAAGAGACTTGAATGCTCTAATGCTAGGAACAGATGCACTGAAACACTGGGGGAATCCCCATGGGAAAGAAAGAAAATTTAACTATGATTGAAACAACATGTAATTGTGGCTTAGAGAAAAACAAGGCTTTCCCAGTTCTCCTGTGATGGAATTACTACTTTTTTTTTCTTTTTTTTAATTAAGAACCAGGATAAAATAGACTGCTTTAGCAGTTGAGGGCAATAGCACAGTCATTGTGGCTGATTATTACTGAATGGGAGAAAGTAACTGGCAAAATGGTTTTTTTTTGCTTGTGTTTTCTTTCTTTTTCAATCTAAAAATTAAGGATGAGAACTCAGTGTACTGATTAAATTGTACAAAACCTCTGTTCCGCTGAAGTGTTCTTTCT